CGGGGGCTGTCGGCGGCGAGGAACAGCACCGTCCTCAGGAAAAAGGGAGGAAGCCTCGAGCGGGAGCGTTGTTGTTGCTGGGAGCGGCGCCAATTCAAAAGAGAGAAGGGCGCCAGTCCAGCGTCAAACGGGAGGAAGTCTCGGGCGGGAGCGCTGATTTTGTCGGGACGGCGGTTTTCGGTGGCGAGGAGGAGCACCGCCTTGAGTAAAAAAGGGAGGAAGTCTCGAGCGGGAGCGTTGTTGTTGCTGGGGGCGGCGCCGATGAGAGAAAGAGTAGCGCGCCAATCGAAGATTCAAACGGGAGGAAGTCTCGACGGTAGTGCTGGTTATGTTGGGACGGCGGCTTTCGGCGGCGAGCAAGAGCACCGGCCCTGAGTAAAAAAGGAGGAAGTCTCGAGCGGGAGCGTTGTTGTTGTTGGGGGGCCGGTTTTGGCGCCCCCCAAAACCGCTCGAGCGTGAGCCTCATTCTCAATGAAAATGTAGCCGGAGCGACCCCTGCCAGGGGCGTGCCTCCCGCCACACCCGCTGGGCAGAACGCGCTGGCGGCGTCCAGCATTCCTATTTCTGGGGAAACGCAGAGCCTCTGTGGCTCTTGCAGCACAGCGGCTCCCTCGAGCCATTCATACAGAGCGAGGGCGAACAAAGCCCTCTCGTGATACTCTTTTACCCGCTCGGTAGCCTGGTGCCCCGCGCGTCTTGGAGCTCTTTTCTAGAACCACTCCAGAGTTAGGGTGGCCTGCTATCAATAGGTGTGTCCTCCTACTCCTCCACTTGATCTTCCTCCCCTAGGCGTCTCACTCTGCCCCCATCCAGACCCCCTCGTCATCGGCCTCCTCTTCTCCCCCCACCCACCCACCCCTCAAACTCCTAACATGAAGCTCACCCGCATCATCCTCATCCTCGTCCTCCTCATCCGCCCCTGTGACTCTGTGACTCTGGGGGCTGAGGTCCTGCAAGCGCCCACGACCATCGCCTCGAATAGTGGTACAAAGCGGCACACTGATGATAAAGCTCGTCTGGACAGGAATTTCTCTCCCCTCCGACGCCCCCCACCTCAGCCCTACCCGTTCCTGATGCCCTCCCTCCCATCCCATCCCTCCCCCCGGCCTCCACGTCCTCCCTCCCCCTCCGCCCTCCCCTCCACTCCCCCCCTCCCCCTCTCTCCCCACCATCCCTCCCTCCCTCCCTCCCTCTCTCCCTACCTCCCTCCCT